AGTTTTGTTTTTTTATATTTGAAGCTTTGATTCTTCTGGTTTGGTTTGTTTTACTATAAAGCGTGAGGTAGGAATCCAACTTTATTTTTTAGGCTACCCAGTTTTCTTTATATCAGTTTTTGACTAATCTTTTTCCTTATGATTTGAATGTGACTGTTATCATATACTAAATTCCCTTAAATTTGGGCCTACATTTAGTCTTTCTATACTATTCTATTGACTTATCTACTTAGTCATATTATTTTAATTAATATCACTTTATAGTATATTTTAATATCTGGTAAGACTAGTTTCGACTTTCTCATTACTCTTCTTTTTCAGTGTTTTCTAGGTATTCTTGTTTATTTTTCCATATAAGCTTTATAATTTAGTTCAAAAACAAATTCAGTTTGTCTTTCTATAAGTAGCTTATTTAATTTTAGATGGTCAATGTCTGAAAAATAAATTAATATAGAATTTTACAACTTTTAAGAAATAGAAAATATTGCCCATTAGGAGGTTTTATTCATAAAATTCTTAGTTTCCTCTCTTAAACTGCACTTCAGAAATGTAATAAAACTATTAGGGATATTGGTCCTGCTTTCCCTACACATACAAACTTTTCCTATATCTTATCCTTTTAAGGAGTTAGCAATGTAATTAAAAAAGAGCCAACCAGGTCTTACAGTAGACAGATTGGCCCCTTTCTATGGACAAAGAGAAGGCCGCCTAATGATACAGCATCTTCCTCAGACATATACCCAGTGATATATGTAAATATTCCCTTTTCTTTTCTTTTTATTCTCTATCTCAAAAATCTCACTTTCTTTATTAGGTTGTAAAATTAAGGAAAAGAAGGTTCCCTTACCATATATAGAGAGATCACTAAAATAACAGAGCATTTTTATCCTCGTAGATCTTTACCTAAAAACGAAGCATTTCTCCTGGATGCTTTGGGTGTAGTCCTCTGTAGATCTGGGGCGTGGGGATGTAGGGGCTTGACAGCTCTCAAGCCATCTCCCTGTCTCAAATATGAGCACTGATTGGGGCTAAGCATCAGGACCACCTTTAAATTCTCATAAGAAATGCTCAGTAATCATCAGATTTGCATGGTACTCACTAAGCAGTTCATCACTGCATATGATTAGCCTAGTGCCTCTTTGGGGATTCTCAAATATAAGCAAAAAAAAAATTGAGCAAATGCTAATAGAGTATTTTAGAATTCATTCTTCGAGGTCTTATAGTTCCTTACCAATCACACCAAGGACATGGATTTGCAATTCTGTATTCGTAGAATCCTCTCCCACCCAGGCACCCTCTCCATTATGTGGGGGACTCCTAGGACTCAAGACATAAGAAGAGCACAAAATAAATATATGGTGAATGAATGTTTGCAGCACAACAAACTAAAACTTTTAAATGGCCTTTTTTACACACTGAACTTTGAAAAAATAATAGATTTTTATATATTTCTGTAAAATCTCAGGTGGCATAGTTTTACCAGAAAACATTCTGGCATGTGGAAAGGTGGATTATCACCATGTGGCGGCAGTTTAGTTACATGTTCCAACCACCTCTTATATGAAGCCCCATTCATCAAAGGCTGTGGCTTCTGGGTCAGTGGCCATTCCTTCCGAGTCAAAAGTTGCCCACACAATGAACATGATTGATTAGCTACCAGTCTGCTCTGAAAACCCAACCAACAGGATAACCAAGGACAGTATCCTAGAGGGGCTCGTTATAACAGAAGAAACTGTTCTCCTTGCTCCCATTTAAATGAGCTATCTTTAGGCCTGTCTGTCACTCACTACTTAAAATCCTTGTTTTATTTTCCCAGGGCAGGGTAGAGTAGACGAGTCATGGAAGATTCTCTGTCTATACCTTTTGTTTGGGAGGTGGTATTTCTTCCTTACTTAGTGAGGCCTCCACCCTCCGGTGAATTTGTCCTGAACCAGTGTCAGGGACACTAGAACAAAAAGGTTTCATCATTGTCCTCAACACTGCAGTAAGGTGTGAGACACCTATTGTTACCAATGTTTCAGTTGTGATCTCTAATGTGAAGACACCATGTCAGTCAGGCCTGGACTGACATTTCAGCTCTGCTATATACTCAACCATGTAAACTTTGGCTCTTTTAACTTAATTTCCCCAATCTCAGGTTCCTCCTCTGTCAAAACAGAGTCAATAATACCTATCTCACAGCACTGTTGCGAAGTTTAATCAGCTCATACGTGGAGAGTTCCCAGAATGGCACCTGGAACAGGTTACCTTTAATACTCAGTAGTTAGTTTATTTTAGCAAGATGTGTTTTACTCTTTATTACAGCAAGCAAATAGTTGGTCCAAAGAATAGATTCAGCTCACAGACATGTTTCGTTGAGTCGAACACACTTTTTAAATTGTAAAATGTCTAGTTTGCCGCGGTCCCCACCGCTCCCAACTATACATCATGCAGCCTACTTCCCTCATTAACTTCACTGTCCTGGCCCTGTGGGCATTTGAGTTTAAGATACTTGCCCTATATTATGGAAATAACAATGCTATTAATCCAAGGAGACTAAAATTCCTGCCTCATTAATTTATTAGGTCACTTGTAAATATCATTTGCCACACAGGAATCCCTTGAGCATATAAATAAAATAAGCAACACAAGTAACCTGAGAGGTCAGGAAAGAAATGGAAAGTGGGAGAGAAAACTGCTATAACGCATTGTTGCACTTTCATTTTTACTTGCACTGCTAATCTGCTTCAAACCTTGAAAGAATATGATCTCTTTCTAACTTACTATTAGCACTATAATTGTCTCACAGAAGATTAGACATTGGTGCTACAAACATCGTCTCCATTTGTAACTTAGGTAGACTATGCCCTTAAAATTCTAATTGCGGATCTGAATCATTCTTGCCTTAGAGTCTAATGAACTTGCTTACTAAGCAGTACCTCTGTGGCTTTGTCATCTTTTCTGCTATTTGGGTAACAGTCTCACATTTTTTAGATTTTAAGATCTCATATACTGCTAACAAAACAGGATAATCTGACAATATTTTTTGGCATTTGCAAAATACCTCACACAGCCTTACTGTCACTACTGAATAGTAACAGAGCCACAGAGTAAATACCACATATAGAAAAATAGTTTTTCCACTTGGAAAAAGCAACTCACCCTCTGTGATAAACATGGTGTAACACTGAATTCCCACTAAGGAGAAAATAACAACTAATGGCTGTTTTCTGTCTATCTGAGTTCACCTGGACCATAGAGAAAATCCAAATGAAATGGATGCCCCCACCTGATTCCTTTGAGTATACCTTCCTTGGAAGCCACAGATTCCATAGGCTTGTTAACTTTGCCACCAAGGGAGTTGGCACCCTCCATTAGTGTTTGCCGAGTCCCCATAACATGACAGACTAAGAATGTGAACCTTTTAAAAGGAAAGGAAATTGCCCCTTCTGTTGGGCAGACTCTGGGGGTTCAAGGAGAAGGGAGGTAGCTGCTAGCCAGTCCTTGACTCTTAGACCCCTGAGGCCCAAGCTCTAAGATATTCTTGGCAGCTCAGAGGTTACACCTTTGTCATAGCTATTATCATATCAAAAAAGAAAAGAAAAAGAAAGCCTCATTTCCAACAGTTCCATGTAAAACCCCAAGAGACCTTTGATTGGGTTAGCTTGTGCCCGATGCCAATCCCTAAGCAAATCACAGGGACACTCCTGCTGGTCAGGCCTGATTTAATCTGAGCATGTGAAATGGATTCTGTTACCAGAGAAGGGTAAAGGGACAATGTATAGCCTCTGCTGTCTACTAGAGTTCACTTATAACCATTACCAAAAAAAAAAAGCTAACTTATAACACATATACACACAACACAGGGAATCAATTTGTTCAAGTATCAAGATGCCTAAAACACTCTGCCGCCTGTACAAATAGTCAGAAAAATAGAGTCCTACAATATGACATCAATTTTCTCAATTAGGAATTCAGCTACTAGTAAAATATGGAAATAATCTAGAGAAGCCAATTCTGTACTGCTCTGATATGGCAGCTCCATAACCATCAGAAACCCAGCCTTTTTCTTAGCATATGGCTGCCATAGTCAAGTTTGCTTCATAGTCACAAGATAGCCACTGTGGCTCCAGCCATTATATTCATATTCCAACAGCAAGAGATAGATAGGGACAAGGGCAAAAGAATGCACCTCTTAGCAGAATAAGGCCCCTTTAAAGAATTTTCCCTGGGCCTCTACTTTATGAATTCTACTTCTATCTCCCTGGCCACTCCTAAACTCGAGGGAGGTTAAAATGCATATTGGGCAGGCAACTAGCAAACTCTTCTAGAGACACCACAATTGGAAGAATAAATAACCATGTCCCCAAAGAAGGAAGAAGTTATAAGGATAGAGCTCTTTAAACTCCATTGTGTTGTAGCCTGAGAAGAACTCAACAAATAATATATATTTCAGATCCTCAGCTGTTGTGACCCCACTATGTCATCCTTGCCTCTCCTTGGGCCACCCTTGGTCTTTTTTCCAAACTTCAGCCTTATATTTGGGCAGCCCTGAACCCTGTCCACTCTTTTCCAGGGTGACTCTACCTCTTACTTGCCCCTCTGACCAATTTTGTCCTCTACAGACCTAAGTGATATGAACACAGCTGCAACCACAGTAGCATTTGAGTCTGTTAAGGGGAAAACATTTATTGGCTAATCAGATATTCCTTAGGATGGAAAAACAATATTCCTGTCTGGAAATTCACTTTTCATTCATAACTCTAACCAGCAGGGCTGCCCTATGCAAAATCATGTGCTAACATTACATACATGGTAGTTGGTTACCAACATGGGCTCTAGAATCAGAGAGACCTGGGTCCAAACCATGGCTCTGAGTCCCCAAGCAAATTATAGAGCCTTTCGGAGCCTGATTTTCTTATCTTTAAAATGGGCTCATAATGGACATACCTCACTCATCTGGTTTTGTTTTGAGGATTTAATGAGATAAAAATAAATGAAGCAGAGTTGCTTTGAGGCAGCACCGGAAGAGGAAGATGGCGGCCACCTTGGTAGCTGCTTGGGGAGTGGGGCCGGCACCGGCCTGGGGGCCGGAGGCCATCACTCCAGACTGGGAAAATGCTGAAGTTTCCACGGGGACCACTATCATGGCCGTCCAATTTGAAGGGGCGCGGTATTGGGGGCGGATAACAACCGCTCCATAACAACCACTGGGTCATACATCGCCAATCGAGTGACTGACAAGCTGACTCCTATTCATGATGGAATTTTCTGCTGCCGCTCAGGCTCAGCAGCTGATACCCAAGCTGTAGCTGATGCTGTCACTTACCAGCTTGGCTTCCACAGCACTGAACTGAATGAGCCTCCACTGGTGCACACAGCAGCCAGCCTCTTGAAAGAGATGTGTTACAGGTACCGGGAAGACCTGATGGCGGGAATTATTGTTGCTGGCTGGGATCCTCAAGAAGGAGGGCAGGGGTATCCAGTGCCCATGGTGGGTATGACGGTACAGCAGTCCTTTGCCATCGGAGGCTCTGTGAGCTCCTGTATCTATGGCTATGTCGATGCTACCTACCGGGAAGGCAGGACCAAGGAAGAGTGTCAGCAACTCACTGCCAATGCTCTGGCTTTGGCCATGGAGCGGATGGCTCCAGTGGAGGGGTGATCCGCCTGGCAGCCATTGCAGAGCCAGGGGTAGAGCGGCAGGCACTTTTGGGAGACCAGATACCCAAATTCACCATTGCCACTTTACCACCCCCTTGAATCCTGGGATTGTAGAATGCAGTAAGAGATACCCCATTACCAATACAAGATTTAATAAAGTTTGTCAAAAAGAAAAAATAATAATAAATAAAAATAAATGAAGCACCAATATATCACAGTGCTTGGCACAGTTATATGTGTAACCTATGTAAATAATTATTATTAATTTTCCAACTTAGCAAATAACAGAAAAAAGATGTGTTGTAATGCTAGTCTCTTTAACGCGAATGTTTAAAACATTTATCCAAAGAAGTGTTGGCTTGCTTCTGTGTTCACCATTATTGTTTGATTATTTGTTTTTCGAAGCAAGTTTTAAAAACTGCTGGAAGCCTTCTATGGTAGGTAATACATTATCTTAAGCAATTTAATGCAAATTAATTTTTACACAACCTTGAGTTTCAAAAGCCATTGAACTGGGGAGGGAAGGAGTGAGGTTTAGGAGGAGTCTGTTTGCTGCCTCCCATCTGGACCCGCAGCCAGCTCCATCTGCTCTCACATGTAGCAACCAGCACTGCAGCTCTCCCTGCCAAGCACACCACGTGCCGCCGAGACTTTTTTTTTTAAATTCAGGAAAATGTTCAAATGCATAGGAAGATGTGTATTTCCGGTTTTCTGGAAAACTTGATGAGATTATTTTGGCATTTTGAAGTTCTGTTTTTGTACTATACCTCTAGTTTTTCATCAGATTTTATGAGTTTGTTTCTGTTTTGTTTTGTTTCTGGATTGCACGCTCTTTTACTACAATTCTCCTTTTCTGATAAGGTCTTATAGGCCATGCTGAGGGATTGGAACATGATACGCTGAGCATATTCATATCAAATGGCAGCCATAGAAAGGTGCAGAGAATGGTGAGCTTGGGCGTGTGTTTTCAATCAACCACTCTATGGTGGCTTCAACGTGAAGAGATGATGGGACAGGACCAAGATGAAGGCTGGCGACCAGTGAGGAGGCTGTACAGATTTAAAACATTTGGTAGGATGATGATAGTCTGAACCAGGGTTGGAAAGGCAGCAAGTAGACTGCCATACTAAGATACCCAGGAAGTAGGATTGACAGGCCTTGGCGATAGACCAGATGTAGGGGCAGAGGGAGATGTCATGGGTGACCTATAGCTTTCTGGGTTGGGCAACTGTGTGGCTGATAGTGCTCAGTTCCCTGGGAGAGTAAACCTGAGAGGAAGGTTTGAAGGAAGGTGAGGTGTTCAGTTCTAGAAAATGAATCCACCATGTCTCTGGCCTTCACAGCTCTTGGAAGGGTAGAGGTTGGCAAGCCAAATACAATTCCTAGCCAACTGCATCACTGCAGTGTGGCATGTAAAATCCAGAGATATGTCAGACTAAATCACAAATAATCTTAACCTTTGGGAACCAAGAGGTGTTAGCAGTTCAACAGTTCACTAATTTAAAAGTTAGGACATGCTCCCACAATTGGCCACTTCTCTCTGAGGTTACGTGCCTTGAATAGAAAGCTCCTGTGTTTCTTGAAGATACTATTAATATTTTCACCTGTGACCGGTCAGTCATGTGAATTGAAGAGCATTTCACCACTTGTTTGTTCTCTTGCCCCTCCTGTTGAAGAGACTGAGCAGAGATGATGGCAGCTGGTCTTATCGTCAATGATTTTCCATTTCAAAATGCCAGCCCCCAAATGAGCTTTTTGACATTTTCATTCAGAAAGGAAATAACCATGGTAGTAAAGTGATTGTGTCCTTATAACAGGGATATTGCCTCAAACAGATATTTGAGATAAATTCCAAGTCTAACTTTGTATTTTCATTTTAAAAAATTGATGTTTAAGAAAAATACTCTAAATTCTTTCCCCTTTGCCATGTATTATATCACTTGGTTTCTGATTATTTTTCTTGGGTAAGCCTGGGGTGAGGGAAGACAGAAAATACTAAGTGATATTGCTAGCAACTTTGGAAATATAAATCAACAACAGGAGGCCAAAACCATCTTCTCTCTTTGTCCTTTTCAAAAAATATATATAAATGAATAGTCAGCTCAGACAATTTCCTCTGAGTCTTTAAAAGGTATTAATGGCACAGTTGGACATTTTCAGGTTCAAAGACAAATCTGGCTTTAATCTGGTGGGGTTACTCTATGCCCTCTTCCAACAACATAGTATGGGAACATTCACTTTTTCTAAGAGTGTGGCTTCTCTCTGCTTTCTCCCTCGTCCCACATCTGCCCCATCTATCCAGCACTTGAGTCCCCAGGAGTGATTGTGGTCAACTAATAAGCACACACGGAGCCAGAGGATAGCAGATGTGGATCTTGATGGCAGAGGGAAAGCATGGCCAGAATCTGGCTCCCAGCAGGTTGGTGAACTGATAAAAACAAGAAAGGTCCCAGGAATAACAGTAATAAGAGAGAATATATTCATTTCTCATGTGGGTCATTCTTGGTTTGTTGTTACAGCAGGATCGTGTGGCAGGTCAGAACATCCTGGCCCCACTCTTAGCCGGCGGCAGCCGTCCCAGCCCTCACTGCCACTGTTCCTCGGGAGGAGTGGAGGAGAGGCTGTTGCGTCCTGCGGTCACTGTGCTAGGCACTGAGACTACAAAGATCAAAGATCCTGTTTCCATTCTCTCCCTGGGCTTTTGGGATAGTGGGCAAGACAACGTTGTTTAAGATTAATGATAATGGACCCCCACAGCTGCCCACGACTGAGTGACAAAGGCCAAAAAAAAAAAAAAAACCCTGAAAAATATATAAAACAGTTTTCAGACAGTGGACAAAAGGCAGCACAATATGGTGATTCCTGAGTGAAGGAAATAAATGCTGTGGTTCCTGCAGTTGTCCCAGCTTTCTTCCTGGAGAGAATTTCCAGGCCATGGCATGGGGATGGGGAAGTCAGGAGCAGCCCAGTGATCTCACTAGTTAAGGAGGCAGAGACAGGAGTCTGGGGAAGGCCAGAAGGTTAGAGTCTCCAGGAAAGAGCAGCAGAGAATAGAGGGCTGCACAGAAAGAGAGCTCCAGAGAGCTGCAGGTGGCACTTTGAGTCTTCAGCTTAGGACTATTCACCGTATCCGTATGGGGAAAATTCCAAGGCAGAAAAAAGAACAAGCAAAAGGAGCAAGTAGAATAATCCTCAGTGGTTACACAGACTGCAGGACAGCCCATGCTCCTGCCAGCCAGAGCACCACAGAGAAACCTCGAACTGCATGAGGCATGGTGTACAGTCTTCAGAAGGGCACTGCCTCAGTAGTGGGGCCCAGTTGGTCCTAGACAAAAGGATGCTCTGGACCCACCTAGCACAGCTGCAAAGCAAGCCTCGAAGAGATTGAATTATTTCCAAGTAACCTAATACATTCCAGAAAAAAACTGAAAAATGTTTAAAGAAATGAGGGGAAAAAATTCAGCACCCAACAATATAAACTTAACAATGTCTGATATCCAATCAAGAATAACCAGGCATGCAAAGACGCAAGAAAATTTGACCCAGAATAATGAGAAAAATCAATCAAGACAGATTCGGAGATGATACCGATCATAGACTTGGTAGAGAAGGATATTAAGACAGTTTTTATGTGTTATATGTTTAAGAAGGTAGAGAAAGATTGAGCATGATAAACAGAGTCATGGAAGATATTAAAAAGACTCAAACTTCTGGAAATGAAAACTATAATTTCTAAGATAAAAAAATAGAGGAGATGGGACTCACAGAAGATTAAGCACTGCAGAAGAAAAACTCACTGATGTAGCAACAGAAACCATCCAAAATGAAACTCAGCTACAGAAAAGACTGAAATGAGCAGAGCATCCGTTGAGCTGGGAGGCAGCACCCAATGGCTAAATACGTATACTTAGAATCCCAGAGGGAAAGGACAGACATAAAAAATAGTTGAAGACAGAGTCGTAGAAATAAACTTGCGAACCAAGATTCTCAATGAAGCTAAGCAGAAGATACATGAAGGAAACTACACCAATACACATCAGAATCAAATTTCTTAAAACCACTGATTCAGAGAAAATCTTAAAAGGAGCCGGGGGGGGGGGGGGGAGCGCGGAGGGAGCGCCCAGGGAGGCCAGCATGCGGGGGGGAGGACATGTATAAAGAAACAAAAGTACAATCCAGAAGATAATATCTTTAAAGTTTTGGGAAAAAAATACAAGGACATTTTCAGTGTGATAGTTATGATTGGAGAGATGGAGGACGTGCCACAGACCTGCCTAAGTAGAGCGCCGTCCTGATTCTACACCAGAAGACCAGAGAAGGTTTCACAGGGAAGGTAGAGTGAAAGCTGGGTGGTGAAGAAAGACTAGTTCTCTAGGTAAGGAGCTTTTTACACAATGCTTTAGAGTCAGAAAGACTCAGGTAAACATCCTGGTTCCATCTTTCACTAAATGGCCATAGACAAGGCACTTAACCTAACTGAACCTCCTTATCTGTAAAGTGGAGATGATAAAAATACCTGCTTCAGTGGGACTGCTATGAAGATTTTATGAGATAATGACTCTAAGCCCATAGACCTAGTCCAGCACAGTGAATGCTCAATATATAGAAACGCCTCTTACTTCTCCTACGTGTCCTCAGAAAAAGGAGGTGAAGAGGGGGAATGTATTTGGTCCCAGAAGGAAATCTTTCCTTCTCTGCTAGCAGTTATGCTGTTTGGGTTCAGACTATAGCTAGTTACTTTCATTCCTCCTTCTCTTTGAGGGTAAGCTGAGTTGATTTAAGACCTGATGGAGACAGGTAACTCCTAGAGGCACCAGAGCAGTGGTTCTCAGCCGGGGTGATTCTGCCCCCCAGAGGACATTTGGCAATATCTGGAGACAGTTGTGGCTGGCACAACTTGGGGAGCACAATGCATGAGAGAGCCCCCACAGCAAAGAATTATCTGACCCAAAATATCATCCAGACTGGGGCTGAGAAACCCTTCAGTAGAGTTTCAGTTCTTGCACTTACCAGTTGAATGACCATGAGCGAGCTCGGTTTCCTCAATTATAAGAAATGAAGATAATAGTTTCTACTTCATATGGTTCTTGAGATAATTAAATGACAATGTATATAAGGCACTTACTATAGTCTGACACAAAGTAAGCAACCAATAAGTCTAAGTCTAAACAGTAACT